GCCCAGCCACAAGCCAGGCTGGTGGCTGCCAGTACAGCAGTGGTGGTGGAGCCTCCTCTGCCTCCTCAGCAGCGCTAAGGATGTCTGACTGCAGCTTAGGTCTGCTCCCCGGTGGCAAGTGGACATCCCCCTAGGGCTGCTGGGCTGCCAGAGGGATGTCTGATTGCCATCTTAGGCCCAATCCCCCGGGGAGCAGGCCTAAGCCAGCAGGTGGTCATCCCCCAAGGGTTCCCAGACTGCGAGAGGCCACAGGCTGGGCTGAGGGACCCCCCCCTTCGAGTGCACAAATTTTTGTGCACTGGGACTCTCTCTATATATATATCAAGGTGGCAGAAATACTCAGAAGAAATAGGCAGATTCTTCCTACCTGTTTGATGAAAGAGAAACAAATTATGTGATTTAGGCCACTGTATTTTGGGGTCTCTTTGTTACAATAATTCAATCTGTAGTCTAAATAATCCATTAGCTATGAAGTTTGCTTGGTCGGCAAACTGCGGCTCGTGAGCCACATGTGGCTCTTCGGCCCCTTGAGTGTGGCTCTTCCTAAGCCTTAGGAGTACCCTAATTAAGTTAATAACAATGTACCTACCTATCTATATATATAGTTTAAGTTTAAAAAATTTGGCTCTCAAAAGGAATTTCAATGGTTGTACTGTTGACATTTGTTTCTGTTGACTAATGAGTTTGCCGACCATTGCCATAGGCTATTTCGGGGCTATGGCGAAGACAGGATCTGGCAAGAAGACTAGGTCTGTAGTAAGCTCACAGGTGTGAATCCTCACATTTGTTCTTACCTTTTTGGGGACTGGTTTTTTTACTTATGTGCCTTCTCTTTTTTCCTTTAAACAGAAAATAAAATAATCATTTAGAATTATAAATAGAGATTTACAAGCTTTATATGTCAGTAACCTTCAAATATTTTATTTTTGTCTATTTTTTTTGTTTTGTTTTTTGTTAATCCTCACTGGAGGATACTTTTCCATTGGTTTTTGGATAGAGTGGAAGGGAGGGGAGAGACAAAGAGAGAGAAACATTGATGTGAGAGAGACACATTGATTGGTTCCTTCCTGCACTAGCCTTGATTGGGTATGGAGCCTGCAACTAAGGTACATGCCTTGACTGGAAGTGAACCGAGATCCTTCAGTCCGCGGGTTGGCACTCTGCCAAACTGGCCAGGGCTATTTTGTCTTCACTCAACTTTTGTGGGGCTAAATCTCCAGGTACCAATACACTATCTTGGTTGCCATCACACTGAAAACAATAATAGCAACAAAAACAACCTACCTTTACACAGTACTAGTTGTTTACAGTATGCTTTTGCATAGTCATATGAGGTTTCCGTATTCACAATAAGGAAAATGTAAGAGCAGCTGAAATCAGGAAGAAGCTGACAGCAAATAAAAGGGAATGTCAAGGAGATCAAGGAACAACAGATCTCAGACATCACCAGCAAAGTGTACATCCTGGACTTCAGAGGCTTGCCTTGAAAGCTAGCAGAGGTTGGTTCATGAGATTTAAGAAAGGAAGCCATCTCCATAACATAGCAGTGCAAGGTGAAGCAACAACTGCTGATGAAGAAGCTGCAGGAAGTTATCCAGAAGATCTAAGCTAAGATAATGATGAAGGTGACTACAATAAACAACAGATTTTTCAGTATAGAAAAATCAGCTTTATATTGAAAAAAGATTTCATGTAGGACTTTCATAGTTAGAGAAGAGAAGTCAGTGTCTGGCTTCAAAGGATAGGCTGACTCTCCTGTGAGGGACTAGTGCAGCTGTAACTTTAAGCTGAAGCCAGTGCTCATTTACCATCTTGAAAACACCAGGGCCCTTAAGAATTATGCTAAATCTACTCTGCTGTGCTCTATAAATGCAACAAAATAGCCTGGATGACAGCATATTTGGCTACAACATGGTTTACTGAATATTCTAAGCCTACCATTGAGGCCTACTGCTCAGAAAAAAAGTTCCTTTTAAAATATTACTGTTCACCAATAAGGCACTTGGTCACCCAAGAGCTCTGATGGAGATGTACAATGACATTAATGTTGCTTTCATACCTAAAACAATATCTATTTTGCAGCACATGGATTAAGGAGTAATTTTGACGTCCAAGTTTTATTATTTAAGAAATACATTTCATACGACTATAGCTGCCATAGATAATTATTCCTCTGATGAAATAATCATCTATGGCAGCTATAGGAAAGTAAATCTTCTGGAAAGGATTCAGCATTATAGATGCCATTAATAACATTCTTGATTCATGAGAAGAGGTCAAAATATCAACATTAACAGGGAATTTGGAAGAAGTTGACTCCAACCATCATGGATGACTTTGAGAGGTTCAAGACTTCAGTGAAGGAAGTAATTGCAGATGTGGTGGAAATAGCAAGAGAACTAGAAATAGAAGTGGAATCTGAAGATGTGACTGAATTGCTGCAATCTCATGGTAATTTTTGTTGTTAATCCTCACTTGAGGTTATTTTCCCATTGATTTTTTTTTTTTTTCGAGAAAGTGGAAGGGAGAGTGAGAGACAGAGAAGAAACATTGATGTGAAAGAGACACATTGATTAGTTGCCTCCTGCACACACACCAACCAGGGCTGGGGAACCTTGAACCCAGGTACGTGCCCTTGACCAGAATCAAACCCGGGACCCTTTAATCCACAGTCCAATGCTCTATCCACTGAACCAAACCGGCGAGAACTCATGATAAATCTTTAACAGATGAGGAACTGCTTCTTATGGATGAGCAAAGAAAAGTGGTTCCTTGAGTTGGAATCTACTCCTGGGGAAGAAGCTGTGAAAATTTTTGAAGTACAATAGAAGGTTTCAATAGTAAAGGAAAGTAGTTGCTAAGGCGGTGGCAAAGTTTGAGAAGATTGAATCCAATTTTGAAAGAAGTTCTACTGTGGTTAAAATGGCATCAGACAACATCATATCGTATAGAGAAATAATTTATAAAAGGAAGATTCAATAATTTCATGGTTGTCTTATTTTTTTAAAATTGCTACAGTTATTCCAGCCTTCTGCAACCACCACCCTAATCCAGTGATGGCAAACCTTTTGAGCTCAGCATGTCAGCATTTTGAAAAACCCTAACTTAACTCTAGTGCCGTGTCACATATAGAAATTTTTTGATATTTGCAGCCATAGTAAAACAAAGATTTATATTTTTGATATATATTTTATATATTTAAATGCCATTTAACAAAGAAAAGTCAACCAAAAAAATGAGTTCACGTGTCACCTCTGACACGCGTGTCATAGGTTCGCCATCACTGTCCTAAACAGTTAGCAGCCACCAACACTGAGGCAACACCCTCCACCTGCAAAAAGATTATGACTTTCTGAAGGCCCAGATAATGGATAGCATTTTTTAGCAATAAAATATTATTTAAAAAAAATATTTTTGCCCTAGTTGGTTTGGCTCAGTGGATAGAGCATTGGCCTGCAGACTGAAAGGTCCTGGGTTTGATTCCAATCTAGGGCACTTGCCCAGATTGTGGGCTTGATCCCCAGTGGGGGGCATGCAGAAGGCAGCCAGTCAATGATTCTCTCTCATTGATGTTTCTATCTCCCTCTCCCTCTCCCTTCATCTCTGAAATCAATAAAAATATATTTAAAAAAATTCACTCCCAGTAAGTCATCAAGATGGTGGGACCTCTGGATCAACTTTCTTTTCTGTAAATCCTTCAATTGAGGGACAAAAACTAGTAGATAAACAGGTAAAGACACTGTGTGATCAAAGAGGTGATTCAAACTATGATGTAATAGTGGAGAGAATATTTAATGATTCCCATCTCACATATCCCAAAGAAGCAAAACTCAGGGATTATAGATTCATACACGAAAAATGATCAAATATTTAAAACACCCTAGAATTAAATATAGAATAATATTTTTAAAATCTTAAACTAGAAATGGCTGTTGTAAATATGATAGTATTAAAGAGAAATATGAGAAATTTGACTACCTACAAATTTATAACTTCTCTCAGGCAAGATTATATTAATAAAAAAAAAACAAGTGGCACAACATACCAGCAACATTTATGACGAATGTTTAATATATATTATGTAAGAATTTCTGTATTCATTCAGCATAGCAAGAAGACAAACACCATAACAGAAAGCATTGACATAACATTTCATGACAAAGAGTTCACAAAGAAGTAAAACAAATGACTAAAAAAATAAAAAATGCTCACCCGCAAAAATGAAAGTATTGCATGTTAAAGCACTTAAATAAGACTTATTATAGCTATTAAAAATATTAAATGTTTTTATTGTCTATGTATTACATATTAATTTTAAAAAGCAGGAAAAGGAGAGGTATGCATAAATTAACCTATTTGGTAAATAAAACTATATTCCAAAATGTACTAATACCTGCATAGAGAAATTCTGGAAAGACATACACCAATTTTTAGAAACCATATATACTTCAAAATCAGAAAAAAAACCGACATGAAGACATGAGCATTTTGAAAAAAACATAGTTACTTTAAAAGGCATTTTTTTTGCCGTATGAAAGGTATCCTATCTAATAAAGAGGGAATATGCTAATTGACCCTCATTCTGTCACAAAGATGGCGGTGCCCACAGCCAACAAGGAGGGAAATATGCTAATTAACTGCCCTGCCCTCAAAGATGGCGGTGCCCACAGCCACAAGATGGTGGCACCCAGTCCTCTCAGCCCTGCCGGGGTGGCAGGTGCACGGCAAGGCTGAGCCCGCCCCGTGTGCCTGCCTTTGGAGTCCTCCAGTCCTCTCAGCCCCCCAGCAGCCCAGAGCTGTCCTGAGGTGCAGACAAGCCTTGGATGGTGGCTGCCCAGCTGCCCAGGGCTGGCCCCAGGTGCAGGCAAGCCTCAGATGGTGGCTGCCCAGTCTCCCAGGGCCGCCCAAGGCTCAGGTAACCAGGGCTGCCTGAGGGTTGTGCTGCTGGCAGTGGCAGCAGCAGAGGTTTGATGGGGCGTTGCCTTCCCCTGATTGCCGGGTCACCTCCTGTCCCTGAGGACTCCCAGACAGTGAGAGGGGGTAGGCTGGGCTCAAGTACAACCCCTCCAGTGCATCAATTTTCATGCACTAGGCTCTAGTAGAAAATTATGATAATAAATGTTAGCGTTAAAAACCAGTTAATTTGTAACATAAAAATCAAGTAAATTCTTATTCACTCTTACTTCGTTTCCCACTGTGTTTTTCCAAAATAGAACTGCTTCCAATATCCATAGTACCTAGAAAGTAACAGGTGGTGGTCAGAGAACTGTAATTTATAAATAAAAATTACAAATCTTATGACAATTCACATTGTGGAAAGCTTGAGTTTATAAGGATGTCTGAGTATATAAATGAATTAAACATATAAATTGATATCTAAAGTCTTGACTTCTCTGAGACTTTGAAAAAAAACCCTCTTCACGACTTATATGCATCAATTTCCTCATTTATGAAATGGGTAGGTAGCAAAGTTATCCTGTTCAGGCTTTAGATTAAAAAAATGTTTTTATTGATTTTAGAGAGAGAGAAAGGGAGAAGGATAGATAGAAGCATTGATGAGGGAGACACATTGATCGGCTGCCTCCTGCATGCCCTGGACTGAGGATTAAGCCTGCAGTTGGACTTGTGATAGAATCGGGGACCTCATGGTTCATTGGTCGATGCTTAACCAGCCATTCCAGCTGGGCAGACTTTGTATTTCTTAATGAAGATTAAATAAGATCTTATTTGCAAAAGTTAATGAGAAATCACTATATAAATCAATAGTATGCTGGAGGGCAGCCTTTAAAACTATATGTTGGTTTTAAGATTAGTTATCTGAGGTCTTTTTCCTGACAAGTAACAGGACCATTTATGTGTCTTTTGAGGTTTTTTTCAAGGTTGTAACCAAGTGACACTATTATCCACCAACAGAATACTTGGCTTTCTTTGCTCCATGAAGAAGGGTGGAAGTAACTATATAAATCCAACACTTTGGTATTGATACACTAATATAGTGCACCAAATACTGTTTTTTAAAAATCAGTGTATTTCTAGTATATCAATCCATGTAAAATCAATGGGACCCACTTTGTGATCATGATCTGCTGCCTTCCTGCTGTTCTCAAAATGGTCAAGTCAAGCAAATGTAGAGAATGAGATTCTCACATGGATTGGACCCCTTCCTTATCAAAGTGTCCTCAGAGTCAAGGGCAGCAGTACTCTGATTTCAGACTCCTGACATCCTGCAGCCTGGGTCCTGTGACTCTCATCTTCATAACTGACCTACTCCCTTCTGGTAAGACACCTCATGTTGTCCTTGAGCACTGATCACCTATCACTGACATACCAAGGGTCTGTAGTATCTGCTGAATCACCTCCACCCCAAGATCCTTGGGTGGCCTTACCCATCATGTCAGATGTTTGGCTACATTCAGGCCTTGCTTCTTGGCCTCTTGGCACAACACTTGGTGAACACACGACACAGGAACACTTCTGATTTCCAAGTCCTTGGAGCTCTGCTCCTATTTTATGATTTGTAAAAAACTTTAATTTGCAATTTTAATTTGCACCCCTGGCCTTGAATCATCCTCCTTTTCCACTACATCAAAGAATGGCTCTACCTCTGAAATATCTTTGTCTATTGTTGTTCCTCATTATCTCTGTCCCTTCCTTTCAATCTTTTTTCCTTTCTATTTTCTTTGCCTCAAATCTGCATCTTTGGCTTTCCATTTTTTTATGTGCTTTTCCCATCCATTCCTTAATGACATTTTTTACAAATATTTGTATTTATTTTTATGTGATTTTGTTCTTTTCCAGAAATACTATTACATTTATATGTCTATACACACATATATAAAATTAAATTATTAAAATAGTTTTTGTAAACATTCCATATAGATACTCTAATAAACTAACTTTGGCCAGACAAATTTCCAAATGTTGGAATACAGAGAGTAAACAATTATTTTCATTCGCTCAGCACATTTGTTAAGCTTCTGCTTTGTGCTAGGTGCTGAGATGGACACTGATAACAATGCAGGACATATGACTACTTAAGTGTCAGTGCTTGTCAACTTAAGAGCAACCATGACATTGGAACATAAAGAAGTGAATATATTGAAAGTTGAAGAATGTTAGAACACAGATCACACAGAGTACTCTGAAGGAGGGGCGGGTACAGCAGGAAGAGCTAGGTTAGTTTGAGAAAGGGACTCCTTCCAGAGTATGTATCTAGAAGCAGGAGTTAGCCAGATTATGGAGGGAAGGGACCAAGACAATAGCCCCACGTGGGTAGAGAAGCATGTGCAAAGGTCTACATTCAGTGAATGCAAGTAACCAAGAGGAGCTTAGGGATGTCTGAACATGAAGTAGGAAAGTTAGTAGCAATGATAACGATGGAGAAAGAGGCAGGAGCCCCAAGGTAGGTGGCTTTGGAGGCCACACAAAGGAAATTTAACTTAATCCTAAAGGAAAGTGAAGGACAATGGATTCTATGTAGGAGAGCAGCATGGACATATTTGCATTTTTGAAAGACCAATTTAGCTAAATAACTTAGAATACATTTGTTGTGAACAAAATTAAAAGCAGGAGCCTGTCACTCTAGTTCCAGTGAGAAGTGATAATAGACATTGATTAAAGTGATAGCTTTGATGATGGAGATGCATGGACAGCCTGGAGACATTTAAAAGGAAGAATTAATAGAGTTAGGTCACAGAGTGCCATACTGATGACTCTGAGAATATGAACTTTAAAGAACTGGTAAATTAATAGTGTGTTTTAGAGCTGGGGAACACTGGGAGCAGGTGTTGGTTTTAGGGGAAAAGATGATGTGCTCAGTTTTAGAAGAGTTGAGTTTCAAATGGAAAGACATCTAAGAGGAGAAGACTAAGGCCTTTAAGACCTTGACCAGAGGTCTTGCTGACAGTTGGATGAATAAGTTTAGAAGCTTAGAAGACAGGGCTGGACTGGAGATGTATAGGAACCATTAGGTTATGGATGGTAATTAAAGCCATAAGAATGGGTGAAATGCCTGATGACATCTCTAGTAGTCTGGATGAGTTACACAGACCATTTGGATACCTGGGGACACCTTACTCTGAAAACTCACTGCTGGTGTGAACCACCCCTTGTGCAGACATTGTTTTTTTCTTATGGTCATCTCAGATCCCACAATTTCTTCATCTCTCCCTTCTCTCCCTTTCCCACTGCCCCCATCTTCTCTACCATTTCTCTCTCTTATTTTAACTCTTTCTCTACAGTTCTTTTTGTGCCTCATCTAATTTCTCTCCATTGATTACCCCCTATATACATCTCATTCCCATCTATTTTCTATGCTTCTGCCTCTGGATATGGTTTCACTATTGAAGTAATCCTCTTTCTACTGTCAATTCCCTTTTGTTCTTCTTTGCTTCTTAGCTTCCTTCTCTGTCTTATCTTGATATTTTTGCTGTTTTTATAATTGCAATCATTGTCTTCACATTTTCTTCATCAATGTTCAGCTTAGTCTTACAGATTACTACTTTTATCATTACCAAATGCCTGCTCTTTTGATACTGACTTCTCTATTGACCACTATTTCTTTTGCCAGTTTCCTCTGATCTTTCTCCATTGCAGGTCTGTCAGTCATGAAATTTATTACCATATTAGAGGCCCAATGCATGAAATTTGTCCAAGAGTAGGCCTTTCTTCCCCCGGCTGCCAGCACCAGCTTTTCTCTGGCACCTGGGACCTGGGCTTCATCCGGAAGGTCGTCCGGTCTAATTAGTATATTATGCTTTTATTATTATAGATTTCTGGTAAACTTCTGAGACATATCTTGAAAGTCACCCTACTTTGCCTCACAAAATCCCCATCTGGCGATATTTGGATCCCATGTCCACTTAGAAAACCTTGAAACTTACTCAGATACCTTTTCATTTGATGACCTCAGCCTATCTTTTCCATTCTCCTCACATTATCTACTCATTGTCCCCTCCGTCCATTCAGGAGTCCTGCTCCTCTTTCTCTTCAGTTCCCTCAAAGTGGAGGCTGTAGTCCTAATCTGTGCTCAAGTCTGTCTGTATATGAGTGTGTGTTCAGTTGTGTGCACATGTGAGGCAATGTTTTTGGGGAGAGGTAGGGAAAAGAAGGAAATGCTGAAGTGAACATGAGGCATGCTTGCTCCAGTGATGGAGGAAGCCAAGGTTCCCTGCCTTCTGCGGCCCGGCTCTGAGCCCAAAAGCAACAATGTTTCAATTATAGAAGCTAAATAAACCCCAGATACCTGCTTTCAGCTGGCTGCGGCCTCAGAGCTGGGACTGCCAGTGACAGCAACAATGTTTCAATTATAGAAGGTAAATAAATCCCATAATAAAAAAAGGAGAGGCTGGGAGCTTCAGTTGCCGGCCAGCCTGAAAACGGCCCTCAGCCCCTCACCCAGACTGGCCAAGCACCCCAGTGGGGACCCGCATCCTGAAGGGGGTGTGACCAGCTGCAAACAGCCATCATCCCCTCATCCAGGCTGGCCAGGCACCCAAGCAGGACCCTCACCCTGATCCGGGAAA